TACTATACTGGTACTATACCGGTACTATACCGGTACTACACCAGTACTACACCAGTACTACACCGGTACTATACCTTTACTACACTGGTACTACACCTATATCACACCTGTGGTACACTGGTCAATTGTAGACCTGGACCAGTGATCAAAAGGTCCTGGTGTAGTCCCACCCACCAGCAGGATTCTGGCCAGCTGATTGGACGATGTTTTTAGTCTCAGGTTGATTGACAGAGATCAGTTTCTTTAGACCCTGATGTGTCCTGGTATAAGACCGGTGTCAGCTGATGGTTCCCAGTGAGACCAGTATCCTGTAGACCAGGTCCTGTGTGGGACTTTGGAGGTTAAATCCTGAAATCCCTCCAGTCATGTTCTGTGGATTACTGCAGGGCTGAGGGGTTTATACTGATCTGGCTCTGATCCTGGACTCTGGAGTAACAGATTCTACTGTGAGTCCTGGTCTACAGGTGTCCCAGCAGATGATGTTGTATTGATCTACAGTCTGTTTCCATAGCAACTGGAGGAGAAGAGTGAGGACGAGGAGGATAAAGAGTGCCTGAAACAGGCCATCACTGCTCTGCTCAACCTGCAGAGCAGCATCGAGAGGATCTGCTCCAGGAGCCTCGCCAAGAGGAGGCTCAGGTACCTCACCTGTACACATGCCTATACACACACCTACACACGCCTGTACACACGCTTGTCCCTTTACCCCAACTTTTCTGAAAAAATAAAAATAAAAAACACGAGACAGCAACTAGGCTGATCACCATTCGCATCCAGTCTTTGTGCTAAGCTAGGCTAACCACCATTCGCTTCCAGTCTTTGTGCTAAGCTAGCCCTAAACCATTTCCATTCGCTTCCATCTTTGTGCTAAGCTAGGCTTACAGTTTCCTCAAGGAACCCGTGGGTTCTAGGGCTCACAGAATAGGTTGTGTGTGTTCTTTATGACGTCCTCATGAGAAAAAATAAAGAACAAATAGATTTACAGAAACTATAAAGTTCTGGTTAAATTAGTTTTTCTAAGAAAGTAAACAATATTAAATAAAGAATATTATGGAACATGAATTTTGTAGATCTAACCACACACTCTCACAAACACACTCTGAGTACACACAGGAGTCCAGTGTGCAGGACTCCTCCCATCCTCCCTGTTTCCCTCTGACAGAAATAGACCAGTACAAGGGGAGGAGGGGTCGGAGGTCGTAGAGGGTGTGGGGGGGGTCAGAGTGGTGTTGTTAGAGGGAAGTGGCGTCAGTATCGGGGCGGTGCTGCTCTGCTGCTTATTGTTCTCTGTGTGTTAGAAAGAAAAGAACACAGAGAGGAAAACTACTGCTGCTGTTTGTTTAATAAAGTTTAACTTTTGAACGATCTGATTACCTGAAGAAGAGGACGGACGGTTAGATGATTGGCAGGTGGATATGAGGACGTAGGTGACTTCACTTTCTTCTTTCTTTGTATTTAAGCAGCAGGTTGGTGTTTGAGCTGCAGACGGGAGGCCGAGGTGGGTAGACAGAAGACAATGGATAGGATACAAGATCATGGATAGGATAGAAGATAATGGATATGATGGAGGTAGATAGAAGATAATGGAGGTAGATAAAAGATAATGGAGACTGCTGGAGATAGTTGGAGACTGTTGGAGGTATTTGGAGACCTTTGTAGACTGTTGGAAACTGTTGGAGACTGCTGGAGACAGATGGAGACTGTTGGAGATAGTTGGAGACTGCTGGAAACAGTTGGAGACTGCTGGAGATAGTTGGAGACGGCTGGAGATAGTTGGACACTGTTGGAGAATGTTGGAGACTGCTGGAGATTGTTGGAGACTGCTGGAGATAGTTGGAGACTGTTGGAGGTATTTGGAGACTGTTGGAGATAGTTGGAGACTGTTAGCGACTGTTGGACATAGTTGGAGACTGTTGGAGACTGTTGGAGACTGTTGGAGACAGTTAGAGACAGTTGGAGACTGCTGGAGACTGCTGGACACAGTTGGAGACTGCTGGAGATAGTTGGAGACTGTTGGAGGTATTTGGAGACTGTTGGAGACTGCTGGAGATAGTTGGAGACTGTTAGCGACTGTTGGACATAGTTGGAGACTGTTGGAGACTGCTGGAGACAGTTGGAGACTGATGGAGATAGTTGGAGACTGTTGGAGGTATTTGGAGACAGTTGGCGACTGCTGGAGATAGTTGGAGACAGCTGGAGATAGTTGGAGACAGTTGGAGACTGTTGGAGGTATTTGGAGACAGTTGGCGACTGCTGGAGATAGTTGGAGACAGCTGGAGACTGCTGGAGATAGTTGGAGACAGCTGGAGACTGTTAGCGACTGTTGGAGACTGTTGGAGATAGTTGGAGACTGCTGGAGATAGTTGGAGACCGTTAGAGACTGTTGGAGACAGTTGGAGATAGTTGGAGACTGTTAGAGGTATTTGGAGACTGCGGGAGATAGTTGGAGACTGTTGAAGGTATTTGGGGGTATTTGAAGGTAGATAGGGCAGGTGAAGGTAGATGAGGGCAGTTGAAGGTATTTGGGGGCAGTTGAAGGTATTTGGGGGCAGTTGAAGGTAGATGGGGGCAGTTGAAGGTAGATGGGGGCAGTTGGTGTAGTTGTTGTGAAACAGTGTGCTAACATACCTCAGGGGTTTATGTTGTAAACTGATTAGTGAGCTGCTGCTGCTGCAGGAGGCTCTTAAAGGAACAGTCACACAGTTTACACCAGTCTGCGGTCACCATCACTGTGTTTCCACGACGATCAGTCTGCAGACCGCCTTCAGTATGGACATCACAAAGACTGTTAATGAACTACTGCTGGGTTAAAAGACACTGACAGTAGTCTTCTATTTAGGATGTGATGTTAGCCAGTGAATCATACTCTGTGTCATACTCTGTATATTACAGTATGTATTATATACTGTATAATA